CAGCCCTGCCTCTGCGCTTCGGCCCCGCCTCTGCGCTTCGGCCCCGGCACCGGTGGAAACCTGGGAATTTCCTTGGAATTTCACGTACTTTCCCCGAAAGTCAGCTACCTGCTCCGTGCCTGGTATATTTTAGGCAATAGAGGGTGGCTGTGGTAGTTGAAGTTTTGCCCTGGCCTCCGGTCCCTCGCAGTGAAACGTGGGGTGCCTCAAAATAAGGGGAAGGACTGAATTACGTGTTTTATTAACGTTTTAGATAGTGTGGTGTGGTTTTTTTTTTTTTTAATGCAGATGGGATACTCGTGATGGCACCTAATACCAGTTCATTACAGAAACTGTCATACTTGCGCTGTGCTGTTACCAAAACAAGTACGTAGTCTCTCATTGAAGCCATGAATTCAGAAATTATGTACTGCAAGGGTCAACTCTGCTAATTAAAGAGAATTTTTTTTAACTTAATGGAATCTTATATTTGTTGTGATCCTTCATTTTGAAGCAATTTCTTGTCTATCATTTCTGTTTGATTAATGAGGAGGCATGACTTTTTTCACTAAACCAGAAGCATATTCCTCCTTGTTGACGTGAGCAGTTTTATCTTTGCAAATTCTTTAATTTAAATGTGTGCTGCTGAATTGACCTGTCTTTCTGTTTAGACTAATAGACAAATAACATTTAGGCTTGGATTGTTGTACTGTTACTATCAGTTCATGCAGAATACATGTTCCCCCTGCCCACATCAATGGTTTTGCTGGTTGTAAGGACCAAAGCTCTTGAAGTAGATCAGTTTCCCTTCAAGCTCAGGGAGCAGGCAGAATGTATATAAAAACTGACATATTTTTGCTTCAATCTTTCTTCATTCCCGTTTAGTAGCTAAAACCATGCAGAAATATACCATCCTGGCATTATGCAAATAGAGCAATTCTTCCCTTCCTCCTTCCTCTCAGTTTTCCCCAAGGTGGTTCAGCTCAGAATTCCTTTCAGCATACGCGCAGATGAAAGTTGCGTTGCAAAGCTTAACAACTTGTTCACAGATGCTGTATTGCTTAGCTGTATATTTGTGCTTATGGGTATGCCTTCATAATATTTTTTTTTTTGTTCTCATGTACTTTCTCAATGCAAAGACTCTTTTTTGTGTGTTCTAGATGGCGTTGTCAGACTCAGTCACTACTTGTCTTTCTCCACCTGTGCATTACATGATTTGCAAACTTGGATTTGAGAAAAAAGACACCTATGATATTAGTAATATTTTATCTGAAAATGGTGAAGTATGTTGGCAAGCTGTTACAGAGCATGTGTGTTATGTTGAATCAGGTTAGTGTTTACCTGCTCTAGTAGTGATATGTTTAAGACTGATGCGGAATCTAACTACAATTCGTAGCAATCCTAGCTTAGCCGTAACATTCTGTTACAGTACAGCATTAGCTTTGCTGCAGGTTAGAGTACATAACAGTTCGTATCTACAAGGAGCTTAAAGTATTCCTACTGTTGCTTCTGTTTTGTTTCCCCAACTTTAGCTCTTACAGAAGTACTGTTCGGTTTCCCTTCTGTATATAGAAAGGTTCATAATTGTTTTTTAACCAAAACAAAGTATTTACGCCCTGATGAACTCATTGAATTTTAATTTGCCAAATTGCATTGTGCAAGCTCTGTTAATAGTTTTCAGAGATGGTAAAAATGATACATGTTTCTGCCTCAAGCAATATCTTTCAGTAAATCAGAAAAATTTATTTTCCTATAAAAGTGTCTCACCAAAGAGGAGCAGTGATACCGTTCTGTAAGGTTCCACATCCATCTACGTTCTTTAAAGGGTGTAAGTGGTGCAACTTGACTGAGGCCTCTGAGCAGCCTGCACTAGCTTCCACCTTGATTATGTGAAATTTATGTACTTTAGTAGTTCTTCCCATTTCAACAAAACCAGAACATAATAATCCTCTTTACTTCCATATTTTGCACTAAGTTGTTTTTTTTTTTTATATTTGGAGTAGGTACTCAATCTTACCTGGTTTCACACTGCACTTTTACTTTTCTGTATCTTATCTGTATGGTCTTTTGGACAGTGAATTGTAGTGTATTAGTCATGCTAAAATAGTTGGGATAAAATTCTCTGTGCTAAACAGGTATACAAGCTGTAGCAGGTTTTACTCCTTGTGAGTTTTAAAATATCGGACCTTCGGGAAGTTTGGTACTCTAATTATCTTCTGGTTTTCAATTTAAGATCAAAGTGTGGATTATATCAAAAGCATACGATCATTAGGACCTGTATGTGAATCTGTTAATTTGCACTTCAAATCTCTGACCAAGGAGCAATTTGTAATTCAGTATGCATTATGGTTCCACTGGACAAACTACACAGAGGTATGGAAATGTCTGTTGATAATTTGTATTTTGGCACATGAACCCTTTGTGGAAGTTTAATCTAAGAACACAGAAGAGATGTTAATGAATCAAAACGCTTAGAATTTGTAACTAATTGTCCTTCTCTGACATGTAGTCGCTTCTAATTTTCCTGACTTTGTAATTAGATTTTATATAAGTTATCACAAAGAGAACATGAGATTCTTTGGACCTGTTCTAACCTAAGATAGTAGGATTTTGTTTTTAGAATAATCTGTGCTTAATATCAAATTTTACTGTGTAAAGTTATTTTTGATAATTTTTATAGATGAAAGGCACTAGATGCATTCCAACTAAAAGTACAAGAGGTGCTCTAGGGCAGTTTCTTTCCAGGCATCTACAGTTTTATTTCCTTGGCATGATTTTCTTTCTGCATTTGCATGGTGACTATCACAGAGGAATATTTAGGTTTCTATGTGCTTTTGACAATTTGTATTTTCCTTCTGAATATTTCACACAACATTCTTCCTCTCCCCCATCATACAGTTATTTCTTGAAGTATTTGACATTCTACAATATACAGAAAATACAGAAGTTGCTCTTGGCTTAATGAAACTGACAGCATGCTTGGAGCGAGCCTTGGGTGATGTAAGTGCCAGCATGAGGAGTCTATTGCAGATTTAGCTTTGTAAGATGGGAATGAGCTCTTGGATTTAAATGCATGCTGAAAAAGTGAGATTACTCTGTACTGTAGTAGTACACAAATAGCCCAGCTGCATTTTGAATTTGAATAGGAGAGATGCTCTTTTCTGGATCCAGTTGTGCTAATGGAAACACCTTCTGAGGCTCCTTCATCTGTGCTGGTAGAGTTGCTTTAATGAAACCCATTTCATTAAAAAAGAGAAAAGTTTGCTTAATCAGGGTACATACAGTAGGCCTTTGTTACTTTGATTTATTGTCATGGTTTTACTCCTTGTGAGTTTTAAAATATTAAATATGACATTTATTTAACTGAAACAGGGAACAGCATATCTTCCACGGAAGATCTGATGATGTAGTACCTCCTGTAAGGAGAGGCATGAGCATGCAGCTGGAAATGAGCTGCTAGATAGCTTCTTTCCTCAGAGCTCTGTTCACAGAGTGTACATCTGTTTAAATGCTTTGACGTAAGTCTTGTGCTGCCAAAAAAATCTAGAAGTCAACTTACAATTTAAATTCTAGACCTAACTGATCGGCTGGATAGATCTGAGATCCATCTCATAGTCCTGAACATTTGTCTTGTTAACACACTCACTCTTTCTTTTACCCTGTAGTAGTTAGAAAGGGTATGCACTCTTGTTAAAGAGTAACACTGCAGGAGTTCCATGACCAGCATGAGGCAGAGTGTGTACATGATAAGAAACTTGTATTGTGAATGCTCTTTGATGGAACATGAATTAGGCTATGGTTGAACATTTGGTGGTAGCACTGCTTAAGTTTGTTTAATCAGTCTTCACAGCCATCTGCCTTGTTTGCTGATATTCTGTACATTATGTGAGTGCAAATATTTGAAGGCTTAGTAGTAAGCTAGATTGATCAACTGGTCGAGATACCTTTCCACCTTTTTTCCCTACCCTCATTTTTGTTTTTCAGCTGAGCAGTTCTTTGATCTGCTTCACTCCATGACCACACAAACAGATGCCACCACTACTTATGGGCACGTAGGTTAGGGAGAAGGGAGCAGCAGCTGGTTTAAGAGTCTTTGCTGCTGGGATGTGTTGCTCACAGATAAGATAAAATAGCTGGTTGTTAAGTCTCTGTGAGGAGCTCTGGAGAAGGAAATGCTGGAGAAAGAACAATGGGCTATTTCACAACTGGACAAACCGATTTACCCAAGTATGGAGGATGGTAAATTTTGAAATAATGAGAAGTTACCAATGATTGGAAAGAAACATCAGGGAGAATACATGGAATGGAAGGCTTCATAGTCTTTGGGACTAGAGATGCTAAGATTGCCCAACTAGGATAAAATCTAATTTAAGGAACAGCCAGAATCAGAAGACAAACCACAAGTCTCCGTCCTTTAACAATGACAGACCCTATGGTTTTCTAGGGTAAGAATGAAGTATGGTGTCCTGGGTAGTTTTTTCCCATAATTATGTGTTCTTGTTGTGCTTTACTTTTATTTTTTCTTGGAAGAGAATAGCAGTACGTGTACAGACACTGTGAAAAGCCTAAGTATGGGAACATTAAGTAGCTTATGCGTTCTCTCCTGATACATTCCATAAATTTTAATTTGTCATGAAATTACAGAGTTTAAAGCCTTTCTAAGGGTTTGGTGGGTTTTGTTTGGTTAGTGTTTTTACAGTAATAAAAATGGTTTCTGGTGAAATATCGAAGTTATATGTTTGAAATACAAAGAAGTATACTGAATTACTGATGTCATTTGTTTTGCTTTATTTTAACAGGTATATTTAATGACTGGTAAAGATTGCCCTTTCCTTCTAAGAGACTTGCTTGCTTCTGAGGAGCTGGCAGTTGTCTTTGGACAAGCTGTAGTAAGTGCATAGTTTTGAAACAAGTGATAAATACTGAGCTGGTTTTCTTCTTGCCAAATGACAGGTTTCCAAGCATAGCCTTTGCTTGCACTGAAGAAGAGTATGCAAATTCTGTAATATACTGGGAAAATTTTAATTTCATACATGTTATTGTCTGGAGTATATATGGCAAAATAATGAATATTGTAAATGGAAATATTTTTAAGGCAAGCTCATAAGTTCTTATTTGCTTTTCTTAATGAAAAACCTACATACATGAAATTTCACATCTCTGTCAAGGAGGTGAGCAAGCCGCAGAGTTGTCTGCCTCTTTTTGAGTTGCATTACTTGAAAACACACGTCCTGCACTACACTGGCTGTTTCTGATAAGCTGTGTTCCCCTTCACCACTGCAGTAAGATGCTTTACAGCATTTACCACACTAGAATTTTTCAAAATAGAGGAAACTAATTTGTTCATCTCCATGTGCAAAAAAATAATAAAAACATTATTCTGATGACATTTACACTCTTGTGTAAATGTAGTAGATGGTCTTTCTAATACAGTTTTACAAATGTAAATTATTTGTTAAGATAAAACATTGGATGTGAACTGTATTTTGTATTTTATATTGTATTGTTAGCCAGACTAGTACTGTTATAAGGATTATTTCTTGAATTTTGATGGCATGTGGAATAGTTCATTCTTACAGTTAAAAAATAAAAACAATGTTTCTGTTTTTGTTTGACAGTGATCTGGGAATACAGCTTTGAATGCAAATCGTGCATTTTATGTGAATTTGTATGAAATCATTGTTGATTTATACAATGATTTAGAAGTAAAAGCTAAATTTGATCTCATTTATTTGCCTGTCATAACTGGTTGGAATGTTTAATAACTAATTTTGTTCTTCCCATATTTTGTTCTATATCATGTACAAGTAAGCTGAAAGATTTCCTTTCAGAGAATACTGGGAATCGCAAGTAGTGAGTTGCTGTTATAGTGACAAGCTGTGGCCAGTCGTCTTGACAGTAGACATTGTAGTCTCTCAATAACTCCTGCAATTTTCTGTCAGGGAAAGATACAAAGTAATAAATAATAGATTTCTTCATGCAGTAATCACTTTGTTTATTAATTAGATGAATGTACTGAGGGTATTCGTTGGATCTCCATATGGTCTGAATCTTCGTAATGTTTTATGGCATGGGTTTGCATCCCCACAAGAAATTCCTGCAAAGTAAGTTACCAATAAGAATCTTGTTTTCTTACCAGTCAGACCTGAGAGTGCTTGAAAAGCTGTTAGTAAAACTTACTGCTCTTACTGAAAATATTTTTTAAAAAACTGAAAATCTCCAAAGGCCTCTGGCAGTATCCTGACAGTTTTCACCTGCTACTGCCACTTCTTTTAGAAAGAAGTTTCCGGAGAATACTTCAGCCATTATAAAGCTGGTTAGTTTTAGGACCAGGGTTTTTTTTCACTAGCAGGAAAAGCAAGAGAGCTTAAGACAGCTTTTTTCTGTCAGGGCAGTCAGGAATAACTCAGAACAAAACACAGGGGAATGGGGTAGGAGGAGGAGCGACAGCAGCTAATATAGAATACAGGGATGCTTTTTCCTAATTCTACATTGTTTTTTCATGCTTGTGAATGCAATTAATTATCAAGTGCCCCTTCTCAAAAGAGATAGGGAGTATAGGTTTTGGATGTCCTTTGAAAAAGCAAAAAACCAAACTTTGTCCCCAACACACAAATGTTGATTCTTTGCAAAAGATTTAGTTGTGTAAGCTTTTCTAATATATTATGGTCTTCTCCCTAGATATTGTGCTATGCTGCTTTTTTTAACTGCAGGATTGGGTCAGTTGTTACAGATGTATCTTCAGCAAACTAAATGTGTTTTAGTACATCGACCTTATGTGATCTTCGTTAGCTTAGAGGAGCTTGATGTATTTCCAGGCAAGTATTCAGCCATTAGCAAGTTTTTATTGTGTTGTATGTGTTACTGTTTCATTGTCCAAAATTGCAGTTGAAAATAATGCATTTTTGACAGTTTTAAGATTGAATCTTAGCTAGGATACCTGTATACACTGTCATTAGATGCATCTATCATGCTTGTAAGACAACTTTTTAATACGTAGGCAGTTCCACTGGCTATTGAGTCAAAAAATACTGCATTCTACAATAATTGTAACACATTGCAGTGCGTAACGTTACTGCTTCTAAAAGACTTCAATGATATGTTCCAGTTTTTTGATGGTGGAGTTCATTTCATGTAACAGTCATCTAGTTTGCCTTTACAAAATATGATTCCTTCCAGAATCAGTGGGTTCCAGCTGCAAGGGTCCCAGCAGCAGTGCCCTGCATCTTGCAGGAAAGGTACTGCTGAAACAGAGTAAAGGATGGTGACACATCTTCAGTACATGGATGCTTTTCTCAGGGAAGGACTTGAAGTGTCAGATTAAAATCTTCTCATCTCCCTGGCTACAGACCTTATTTGGTTTAGGCCTACTATTTTTAAAGCAACAGCAAAGTGTATGGGGAATTCTGGTGTCAATGGTAGTCATGGTCAGATTGTGCTACATAAACAATTTGCCAGTGGAACATCTGTTCGTGGAACATCGGTTCATTGAACTGAAGCAGGCCTTTTGGGATCCAAATCAAGCTGATAACATTCCAGTCATCATGTAGTATAAATCCTATAGCTGTTGATTTGCTTCAAAAAAACACCTACTGCAGTCAAGTTTCATTTGCCATTTTAAGCTCTCTCTTGGATGAGATACTTATAATGTGAATTCATAAGTGTAAATTCATAAGTGTAAATTTCCTTATATGGTATCATTGAAGTATGAAATGTTAATTTATTATGCTAAATGTCATCACAGAAAATTGATAAAGTGGGAACAATGTGCTCATGTTCAAATGTTCATACTACTGTCCTAATTCTTACTGAATTAAAATGATTAATATATATTACACTTTTTTTAAAGTATTTGAAATAGGTGGAGAACAACTCAACAGAAGCTAGGTCCAGTTGCTGTGTAATCTTTTAGTCTCAGTAACCACAACTTTTTACTTTATTTTTACTCTGTAATTTTATATTATCACTAAAAATGCAGTCTTACAAACTTAATTTCTGATCTTAAATATGACTACCATTGTACTTACATAGTTAAAATAAATTGGACAACTTTTAAGTCTCCCTTTAAAATGTGGAAATAATCATATTTTCAGTGAAATATTAAGAATGAATTAGTAAAATGTAGATTGTATGTAGTTTATCAATGTTGTTTTGCTAACTTGCAGATCTTACTCATGAAACACTTTCGATAGCTGAAGAGCTAGTAAAACTGTCCAGTTTTGTATTAAAAACAATGTTACCATTTTGGATGGCTGCTTTAACAGCTTTCAAGAAAAGCAGGTAACAGTAGATTTTTATTATTATTATTTAATAGAATATAGAAATAATATATTCTATACTTATAGAATAATAGCAGCATTTGTAGATTCCAAAGCTTTTTGCTAAATCTTTTGCTCAACAACGTGTAGTTATGCATTGTTATGGTGGTCTCTAAGGAAGTTTGTGAACTTACCACTTTGTTTTGTGCCAACTAGGATTGTAAACTATATTTTGAAACCTAAAAAGAACTGTTGCAGATGTAGCCAAAAAGGAGAGCTTTACAAAGCAAGTGGAAACAGATCTTCAGATATTAACACATTGAGTTAAAAAAAAGAAAAAAAGAAAAAAAAAAGCATTGGTTTGTTTTTCTCTCCCATGCTCTACCTTTCTGTAAGTTATTCTCATCTCTGAGCTGGTTTGAATTCGGTGGTCAGCTTCTGTTGGGCACAGGTAGTCATTTAGTGTTTGTTTACAAAATGCGTTGCAAAGGAATTTGGGGCAGGGCTGTTTGGCCCGAGAGTGTAACTGTGAGATGACTCTAATTTCCATTTGGATTATATTTATAAGGGGGGAAAACCTCTTTGGGTATCTCTGTTATTTTTTTCAGGTATGCTGACTGTGTGATTCTCTTACTTCCTCAGCTGGAAGTTGGACTTCGATTGCTCTTCACTACAACTAATAAATGTCCAAGTCGATTGCTAACAGCTGAGGTAAAATTTCTGTCTAAAGTCAATTCTGATTTAGCGCTAACAATATTTGCAAAATAATTATGCGAGAAACATAGAGTCTAAACATTTAAAGATTTTCCCAAAAAATTTTTCAGTCGATTGTGAAACATTATTTAAAAATTTCCAGTAGAGTTTCATGAATGCCTCTTACTTCTTTGTAAAGATGTCTACCAGTGAAAGAGGTCTGAAAAAGTACTTGGAGGTTAGTGTTCAGAGACAGTAGTTTAGGGTGGAAAGTAGATCATGTTAGATTTGTTTTTAAAAACTTGGCACAAAATCCAACAGTCTCTTTTTTCATTTGCAAGGGATTTTTTTTGCTATTCATGCACCTCTAGTACATCATGAAAATGAATAAATATAAGTTTGGTATACATGTCTAATTAACTGTTTTTGTTTGAAAATCAAATAATGTGAGTTGTTTTTTTGTTCTAGCCTTCTGCTCTCTACACCACTTTTGATGAGGTACTTGTGATTATTTTGTTTTTTAAATATATCTCAATGTCAGAATTTAACCACGTGCGTATTTCCCATTACTAGAGACCAGAAAGAACTTTATTGTGTTGGATAAGACATTATTTCTAAATTTTTTGCAAATAGAAGATGATGGACAGTAAACATTTTAAATTTGGAATCCCCCAGAAAATATCAAAATCAATACAAATTTTAATTGACAAACTTGAATTTCTTCCAAATGTTTTTCTCTTGAAAGTCTTCATCTCACAGAAACAAACGTTCTGTCATTTTTCCTATATTCAGTTATTCAAAATAAATGCAAATAGACACTGAAAGCAGAAATTCTCAATTTTATAACTCCTTTGAATTATCTCAAATTGTCTGTCAGGAATAATTAGGCGTCTTGATTCTTGAGTGGTGGAAGTAATTGCTTAAAAATAGGGAAACTAATTACTTTAGTTGGTGTTTTTTCTTTGATTGTTGGGCTTTCAATAAGTTTCTCTTCAAATTACATTTTTCTAGATGCTAGCAAAGCATTTGGATAATGGAGAAATCAACCAGCTTCCTGCAGTTCTTGAGGAACCTGCCATGGCAAGTGTTTTGAAAGTGGTTTTTTTGATGTTTTTGTTTTTTTTTTTTCTTGTTATTTTTAGTTTGTTTTTAAATTTAGTTAATGTATTTATGATCATGCCTAATACTGATTTATTTCACATAGCTTACTTCCATCAGCTTAGAACCAGAAGCTTGTTACCTGTTTTCATTGTGAAGGATGCAAAGTAGTACCTGACAAGCTATATTGGGTTGAAGACTATCTTTCTTTCTAAAATATAGACATCTCAGAGATATTTCTCTTTAGGCTTCTGAAGATCAGCTGAATGGAGCAAAAGTAAAACTGATGCCTCATGCAGGGAGAATTACAGCTTATTTCTGATTGCTTTTGTAATACATCTCACACTACCTGCACAGATGACACAAAAACATAGCTGCAAACCTACCAGAGCACATCCTGTACCTTGCCACCCAAACAGATAGTGAAGATGAAAACTAGGGATGTTGAATTTAGAAGCCTTTTGAGACTGTACAGGAGACCTGAGTTTATTGTCCTCTTGTCAGAGGCAGTGGGGCTGTGGAGTACTTGGGACACAAAACTGAAGGAAATCTGTTGTTACCTGTCACGAAATAGCACGTATGTTAATTTTGAATTTCCTCAGAAGGTACCGAGATGGATGAGTTGCAGGGTATTTTGCTATGAGCGTAGTTTGCATTGTGTTTTCTGACCATCTCAATGCCCCTTTCCTATAGACATGATCACGTACTTATCTCTCAGAGGTATTGTATACACTGAATATATTCTATTCTGTGTGAATACACATAGAATAAATTCTATACACTTGGTGTATGTTTCCACAGGAATTTCTCTGGGATTTCTTGAACCACCAGGAGGGTCCACGTATAAGAGATCGTTTAAGCCATGGAGAGATCAATCTAGAAGCATTTCCCAGAGAAGCAGCTAATCAGATAGTTGCATTTGCAATTACTCTTCTCTGCAGGTTCTCAGATGAGAACGTGTTTGCTTTTAAGGTAGGGATCAATAGCACGCTTGCAGAAGATTTTTTTTTCTGTTATTTTGCGTGCCAAATCTGGTCTTAGAGAGTCTTGTGACTGAATCATTCTTGACAGCAGCTTTTGGTGGAAACTAAGTACTCCTCCAAGTAAAAAATTTTGAAAGTATGTTTTTTCTAGTTTTGCAGTGAAGTAAGTACAGAAAGTTTTCCAAAAGATTACCCTTTCTTACTGTACCTTAATTGATTTGCTTAACCACTCCATATTCACATGGCC